ACAGTTAATCTCAGTAAATCTATTTTTAGATTATAGTGTCAAAAGCTTTTAACTATTTTATTGCAAAAATTTATTGAGTGATCAGACTTTCATTATTAAGTATTAAATTTTACACCTAATCAATCAAACAGGCTAATTTTCAAAAAATTGTTAAATTTCTTAGTTTCTACATTGATGGCCTATATATTTATCATAAAATATATTCTTAAAAATATATTTTATAAACTTTATTATAAAAATTTTTAAAATTATTAATAAACTTTAAATAATAAAATTTTAAAATTTTTGTTTAAAATTTTTATTATAATTTTTAAAATTTTTAAAATTTCATATATTTCCAAAGATAAAAAAATTTTTGCTCTTTAAGCAAATCTAAATTTTTATAAATAAATTGTAAAAGTCATAATAATAAAATTTGTTATCCTTTATATTTGCAATAATTTTGTATTAAAACTATAACCTTAAAATTAATATAATCAGACCTCATTATAGTCACTCTTGATATAGTCACAATCTTGTTATAGTTACACTATTTCTTAATCTTAGATATTATAAAACATATAAAATTTAACCTTTATATAGTCACACTTTGTTATAATTACCAAATATTTGTTTCTAAACTTGGTGATTATATTGAGGTCTAACTGTATTTAAAAAGTTTGTTACGAATAAGTAGATAATCTTTGATTAAATTTTTTTTAAATTGGTATATTTTTATCTTATAAGCAATATAAATTTTTTTTTATCTCTTAAACTGTAAGGCTTTTCTAGACAAATTTATCTAAAAAATTATCATAAATATGATTATAATTTATTTTTTTTAAATTTTAATATATTTAAATAAATTTTTTTTGATAATATTTGAAGATAAGAATTATATTATAATAGTATTTAATTTTATATTAAAAAAAATGGCCTTAGTTACTTATAAGATAAAAATAGACCAATTTAAAAAATTTTTTAATAAAAAAAATTATCAACTTATTCTTGGTAAACTCTTTAAATATAATTTTAAAGAGGAATGTTTGCACTTGGCAACTGCTATCAAAATGGAGTTGAAGTTGAAAAGGATAAACATATAGCATTTATTTATTATCAAAAATCTGCAGTAAAGGGAAATTTTGATGGAGCATATAATGTTAAAAATTATTATCAGAATGGAATTGTTGTTGAAAAGGATGAACATGTGGCATTTATTTATTACCAAAAATTTGCAGAAATGGGACACACTGATAGTGTATATAATACTGGAAATTATTATCAAAATGGAATTGGAGTTGAAAAGAATGAGCATAAGGCATGCATTTATTATAAAAAATCTGCCGAAATAGGTAATGTAAATGGAATATCCGCACTTGGCAATTGTTATAAAAGTGGAATTGGAGTTAAAAAGAATGAACATAGGGCATTCATATTTTATCAAAAATCTGCAGAGATGGGTGATGCCAATGGAATGTTTAATGTTGGATATTGTTATCAGTATGGAATTGGAGTTAAAACGAATAAACATATGTCATTTAATTATTATCAAAAGTCTGCAGAGAAGGGAAATGCTGATAGAATATGTAACGTTGGACATTGTTATTTTTATGGAATTGGAGTTGGAAAGGATGAACATAAGGCAACCACTTATTATCAAAAATCTGCAGAGAAGGGAAATGCTAATAAAGCATATAACATTGGATATTGTTATCAAAATGGAATTGGAGTTGAAAAAGATGAACGTATAGCATTCATTTATTATCAAAAATCTGTAGAAATAGAGAATGCTGATGGTGCATTTCAGGTTGGATATTGTATTGAAATGGGATTGGAGTTAAAAAGAATAAACGTAAGGCATTCATTTATTATCAAAAATCTGCAAAGATGGGGCATGCTGGTGAAATGTATAATGTTGGATATTGTTATCGAAATGGGATTGGAGTCGAAAAAGATGAACATGAGGCATTAATTTATTATCAAAAATCTTCCGAGATGGGGCATGCTAGTGGAATATTTGCTCTTGGTAACTGTTATGAAGATGGAATTGGAGTTGAAAAAGATAATTATAAGGCATTTATTATTATTATAAATCAGTCAAAACATCTTCGTCCACAAATCAGCAATATCATATGCAAATAAATTCAAATTCACATAATTTAAAGCTACCACTTGATGATTTAGGATCTATAGGATTTAATTATAAATCAGGACTTAACCTTGCAACAATTAAAGTTGTATGCACCTTTTAATATTCTAATCCAGTTATTATAATTTAACCAATTATACATTACTTACTAATTTATTAATTCAACATTAGCAATTGGTAAAAACATTTTTAATTATCACTATTTGAAGTTTTGTTATTTGGTAAAAACAAATAAGTTTTTAATCGATTTGTATATGATGTTTTTAATCGATTTGTATGATATTTAATATTTAAATAGATTTCAGAACTACTTATTCGGTATATTTTATGTCTTTTTTCTTTTACAACTTTTTTTTAATTTATCTATCAAACTAAAACTATAAATTACCTATCATTATTCTTCTTCATAACAGGGATTTGCTTTTGCACACGTCTCTAATCCCTCATCGATTATAACAAATGATTATTGGCAAGAATTTACAGGCCCATTAAAAACTGATACTGTTTTAAGATATGATCAATATCTTAAAAATATCGAGGCATGGCGATTACCAGTATTAGTACAAAAGCCTGTTATACGAAGAACATTTAAAAGTGGCTTTTTAACTATTCAATTTTTCAAACTTCATTTAAGCAAAAAATTTGATAAACCTGATCTTCCTGAAGAATTATATTATAAAAAGGCTATAACAGATTATTTAACAGAAATGGGTATGTACAGTATAGATATAATAAATCATTTCATAATTTTTTATTAACAAAATAAACAATATATTATATAACACATTTACAATTTAAAATAGAAATAGTAAGTTGCTTCCAATTTTAAGTTATTTCGTTTGCATTTCATTTATATTTCATATTGTTAATTGCTTTCTTATAAATCATAGCTCATTAAAAAGGTCTTATTAAAGTGTTGGCTAGATATTGATTATCTGAATCAAGTTTTGCTAGTCATGACAATTCAGCAGAGTATACTGAACATATAAAGAATATAATGAAAGAATCAATCTTTAGAGCAGGTAATAAAAAATACAAATTTGATATTTTTGATACTGTAATTAATGATCAAAACCAAATATGTAATATAGGTTTAATACCAAGAAATTCAGATAAGCTGAGATTTATTGAAGAATGTGAGTTGTTTTTTCTCTTTGTTTGAAATCTTATTAAATACAATCATATTCCTCTATAATCATCTTCTATGTAAGCACTTTAAATTTTGAAAAAAATTCATTAATAAATTTATAAAAAAATACTTCTATATAAGAACATAATAGAATTTTTATAATCACATATTTTTTGCATAAAGCAAACTGAGCAATTATAGAGGAGTATGACTATACTTTATAAATTATTTTAAATTTTATCAACCTTTTTTTTTTTTAGCTAAAGCTGCAGCTATATATTGTAAGAGAATATTACAAAAACGTATGCATAATAAAGTATTTTATTATTTCTGTATCTTTTTTATCAAAAATTTCTAATATACAGTATATTATAGAACAAGGCCCAATTGTTATATTGGACTGTAGCAGTTATAAAATAGATTTTATAACTTTCATGCTGAAAAATAATGAATTAAAAGAAAGTGGCAATAAAATTACTGAATTTACTGGTGGAGCATGGGTTGATAAAGAATTTTTAAAATTTTTAAAGAAAAATATCAGAGAATCTGCCATAATTTCATTGGCTAAAGAATACACAATCAATTTCAATATATGTTAAGTGAATTTCAACATCAGGTCAAGTTACCTTTTACCAGTATAAAAAAAGATTTTAAAGTTATTAAATTTAATATTAAAGAAGTATGTCTAATGTTAAAACAATATGTGATAGAAACTTAAAGATCAAAATTAGAAAGAGATAATTGGATAATTGATTTAGGATTTGATGATGTTAAATCAATGTTTGATATTGTAATAGACAAGATTATTGTATTGATTGGTTTGCAACTCAAATTAAGAATTGCTTATACTGCAATGTTCATGGTTGGAGGATTTAGTGAATCTAAATATTTTCAAATGAGAGTTAATCAATATTTTCATAGCCAGAACAAGAACATAATCTTTCTAGATGACCTGGTAAGATTGTTTATATTATAAAAGTTTTATATTAATTTAACTAATATTGTTATTATTATTGTTGTTATATGAATTAATATTATACTAATATTGTTATTATTATTATTGTTATATAAATTAATATTATTTTAAAAGATCACTGTAATAGAAAGGTATTCTATAATATTTATTATTTTAGCAATTATAATTGTTTAACTAATTCTTGGTTTTTAGGGGTGAAGTTAAATATGGAATAGGTTTGATACTTCCGGAGTCCTAAAATGAGTTTATTACAATAAACTATACAAAGAAAACAATCTATAACTTATAAGATGTTTGGATATATATTAAGAGAATTTGTTAAAGCTAAATTGATCTTCATATATTATAATAAAAAAAAATTTATATTTTATTCAATTATACAATATACTTAAATATATTATTTTATAATATTACTAATTAGATTTTAATATAGAAATAATTTAATTTATACAAAGAAATATTTAAATAAATTTAAATAAGAAAATTACTTAATTTACACCAGGTGTATATACACACATACTAATTGTAAATGAAAAATTAGTATAGTTTAAGGTTAGGGTGAAAGTAGCTTTAGGGTTAGAGAAGGTTATAGTTTATACTAAAATTTTGCAAGGAATCTTTTTTGTTAGAACCTCGAAGTGGGTTTATAATCAAAATTTCGAGATATCAATATATGTGTGTATATACACCTAGTGTACAAATAGTAATCGACTTTAAATAATATATATATTTAAAATTAATAATTAATATTATATAAAATTAATAATTAATATTATATGAAATTAATAATTAATATTATATTAATTTTAACTAATTAAATTAACTTATAAAAAATAATCTACAAACAATTTTTTTAAAAAAATATAATAATTTAGTAAAGTGTTCAAATTGTTATTTCCAAGAGGTATGTTAAAAGTTCAAAGGCTACTAGTAAAAAATTTAAAATTTTGCTTGTATTATAGTTAGAATAGAATATTTGTAACTTTATTTATACTAATCAGATTAAAAAATTATAGAGTATTTATACAATAAATAAGCTATACAAAGATATACAAACTAGTATTTAGTAGTATAAGTTCAAAATAATTTTTATAATTATATAAATTTGAAAAAACTAAAAAGATAAATACTTGTTTAGTAAAATTTAAATAAAAAAAATACAGATTTTAATTATACTACTATAAAAACTATATTCAAGACTAGTAATCTTAATACAAAATTTAGTTAAAAATATAAATCTATTAATTAAACTATTAAAATTTAAATTAGAAACAATTGAGGAGTTTTTGGAAACAGCAAGTTGAAAAGAAGTATACTCCTCTATATTTTTGATATTCAAACCAAAAGAATATTATAAGAGCAATATTATTGCAGATTTTTGAGCAGGTATATTTAGTAAAAACTGAGAAACTAGACTATATAATTGTAATACTTATAAGAAGAATCTCATATATCTTTATTAGCCCACCACTTTTTTTGAGAATTTTTTTTGTAAAAAGTAGATATTTTAGCTTACTCTTCAAAAAAATTAATATTATATATATCAAAATAGTTAGTATTGTTTATTTTTCAAATTAGCATAAAAGAACAACAAACACATCAAGATATATACCTCAAATGCAACAATCTGATTTTAACAATACTCTAAGAGTTAAATACTAACCTCCCTACACAACTCTAGTAAATGAAGTTTTTTCACTAGTTTTTATCTTGCATATATTATTTAAATAAATTTAGAGTAAAAACTATTTTATTTAGTAGTATATAATTTTTACAAATCTATCACAGGCTTATGAATATGATGTTAGAATAAATAATTTTTTTTTCTTTTGTTTTTGTTGCTCTCTTATCTCTTTTTCTTTTTGTTTGTATATTATATCATTATTTCTTTTATTTTTGTATTTTTTTTCTTATTTACATTTTCTTTAATTTGGCTTCTTGATAAAGTAATGTAGCTGCTTTAGCTAATAATTAGAGGGTTTAAAATCTTCTGTAAGTTGAGAATCTAATGTAAAGCAGTTTGCTGCTAGGTAGTATTATACTTAGGCTATAAAGTCAAGTAAGTTTTTATTTTTTTTTTACTTTAGCAATTCTACTTTTATTTTATAAATTGGCAGTAAAGTACAGGAGAATTCAGTTGGCTAAACCTACCATCTAACCATTTATTACTATATGCCTGTCCAAATAAAAATTCTCTCAATCTGTCTCATTATCATAGTGGAATCCTGGCAAAGCCAAAATTCTATGCTAGAGTATGATCCAGGAGTGACCCGCCTAAGTGAATAATTTTTCTCCTTCTGGGATTCTTAATTTTTTGAGGATATAAACCCCAGATATCAACAGATGGCCTTCACCAACCTTGTCAGAATCACTGCTCTACAATAGAATGCTGCCAATCTGATAACACTTTCTTGTAGAGAAGTAAAAAAGAAAAAAAGAGTATAGGAAGAGCAAAAAAGAGGTAAGATATAAACAAACGTACAAAGAAAACAACAAAATTATAAAGAAATCTAAATACTATCCTAAAATCTATGAGAACTTATCTTCAGATATAAAACCTGCTAACCAGATAAAAACTATCTACATGGTCATAGAAATTTATACATAGAGCTATCTGACAAAAAGAAACTAAACTACACACTAAAATGCACTTTAACTTGTGCTGAGGACAAAAATTATATGCATATGACTTCGGAATAAGCATATCTCTGTAATACCACTCTAGTTTACAACTCCCGTTTAAATCCAATTCAAATCCTAGAATATCCAATTTTAAAGCTCGATCACGTAATCATCGATTCTAAAGTCTCTTTCACTTTAAGCTAACCCTGATTACGAATGGTTCTGCTACTTACAGTTCTTCACTTTGAACATGCTTCTCCATATTTTAGGATAACAGAGTTGGTTCTTTCGATCACCATTTTTAGAAGCTACTTCCTCAGTATATCCTAAATAGGGGCTACCCAATAGCTATGCCTGATTCAAACAAGATATGTGCCATTTATCTTCCTTCGATCCAGATTTCTATTAGAACTTTCTCCTCACATGTGATTTGTTTTGTTCCCCAAATATCATATCAAAACTCGTGACTTTCTGAAAATAGAAGTAGTAAGCAATACCAATCTTTTGGAGGGTATAAGCCAAATCCTTACTTTTTGTCAAAAATTATGAAAAAAGAAAATAGCAAAAGGGTAGTCGTAGTTTTGCGAGTTTCCAACCAGAGAGTGTTCTTCCAAGAGTTCTTTATAGCTTTCTGTCTCCAAACAAACTTGAGTTTATCTTCTACTTACTGTTTCTAGAGACTCCTCCGGTTTGGATACCAAATACAAAAAGGAGTTCTTCAAAGAAGAATGGAAAAAGGCTTGACATCTTTGCAAACCATCCAAAACACCTGCTCCTCGGTGTATCATGTTTAAGACTTTGTCGACAACAGTTCGTATTAAGTAAACTTCAAGCTGTTGTTAATTTTTGGTCTTGAGTCTTCTACTTGCTTTTGGTAAAAAGTTGGTACAAGTGATCGTTGGTGAGAGTTGATGTCAAGTAAGTTTTTATTAATTTAAAAACAATAGTATAGAATATTATATATATTTATTAACAATAATTTTTGGTATTTTTAATAAAGTAAAAAGACAGAACTGCTGAATTAAAAAAATAAATTAAAAAAATTTATTTAAAAATATTAAAAACAAATTATATAAATTAATTTTTTTTTTTTTAATGTTAAGTTGACCTCTTGGTTAGGTCTCTTTATTCAGTTATTGATTAACTTTACCATACGCTAAGCCTCTTTCGATGCTCGTACAGTATACATATTTTTGGAATGTACATACTAGCCACACGTACAACTTTTGGTTGCCTATTTGAAGTAGTCGGCTTATTACTAAGTT